CATTGTCAAGGAACAAGGCACTGGGAATTAATGGAATACAAACTGAAATCTTTCAACAAACATGTGGCACTGGAGGCAGATACTCATCAGTGCCAAGAAATGTGGAAGACATTTACCTGGCCAACTGATTAGAAGAGATCCATATTTGTGCCCATTTCAAAGAGAGGTTACCCAACAGAATGCAGAAATCAATGGACAATATCATTAATATCACATGAAAGTCAATTTTTGCTAAAGATAATTTAAAAATGACTGTAATAGTACACTGACAGGGAAGTACCAATGGTTTAAACCGGATTTAGAGGAGGGCATGAAAAAAGAGATATAATTGCTAATGTCAGATGAATCTAGGCTGAAAGCAAAGAATATGAAAAAGATGATTACCTGTGATTTATTGACTATGCAAATGCTTTCCATTGTGTGAATCATGACAAGTTATGATCAAAATTGCAGAGAATGAGTATTCTAGAACACTTTATTGTGCTCATGAGGAACCAAGAAGTAGTTGTTGTAACAGAACAAGGGAGCACTGAATGGTTCAAAATTAGGAATAGTGTGTGACAGGATTATATTCTTTCATTATACATAATTTTCTGTATGCTGAGAAAATAATTTGAAAAGTTGGATTATATGGAGAAAAACGTGTCATCAGGATTGGAGGAAGACTCATTAGCAACTTGAAATATGAAAATTATACAACCTTGCTTTGCCTGCTGAAAGCCAAGAAGACTTAACATACTGATATGGATCAAAGACCACAGCCTTCAGTATGAGTTGCACCTCAATGTAAAGAAAACACAAATCCTCACCATTGGGCCACGAATAACATCATGATAAATGGAGAAAAGAATGAAGTTGTGTAAGACTTCATTTTACTCAGATCAACTGTCAACACTCATGGAAGCAGAAGTCAAGAATTCAAATGACATACTGTGTTATGCAAACCTGCTGCACAAGATCTCTGTTAAAGAGCAAAGATTTCAGTTTGAGGACTAAGGTACACCTGGCCCAAGCCATGGTATTTTCTATAGCCTCATATGCCTGTGACTGTTGGACAATGAATAAAGAAAACCATAAAGAATTGATGCATTTGAGTTATGGTGATGGAGGAGAATATTAAACGCACCTTTGACCATCAAAAGAACAAACAAATCTGTCTTAGACAAAGTACAGCCAGAAGGCTCCTTGGAAGCCAGGATTTCCAGACTTCATCTCTCATATTTTGGACATATTATCAGGAGGGACCAGTCCCTGGAGACGGACATCATGCTTGGTAAAGTGGAGAGTCAGTGAGAAGGAGTCTCTGAATGTTGTTTATGACATTAATGGTTACCTATTCTGACTGCTAAGTTAATTATTAAATTATCACCACAGTTTCACAGGCAAGACAATATACACAAATTGTCAATTAAAAATAATGCTATCAAGAAAGTGACCGTTTTTCTCTAAACCATTTCTGTTTTTTTTTTTTTTTTTAATGCCTTGCAATTAATCCTTCAAGGTTCAAAACTATTCTTCAACATTGCTCTTTAGTGTGACAAAATAGGAAATGTCATATATCTAATTGTGCTTCAAATTAAAGACCCATGTCAAGCAAACCATCATATTCTATTACATCTTGAATCTATGCATAAACAATTAGCAAGAAGTGGCTAAAAGGTGGCCCCGGATACAGTTCCACTGCAGATTCCACAATGTGCAGCTTAATGTAGTCAAGGAAGATCTCTTCCAACTTGCCTCTGCTCTCTTTGTTGCTTACTTTTATCTTTCCTTTCACTGAGTTCATCTCCTGTAATTCCATGGGGAGGGTTTAGATCTGACAGTTAGTTACAGGCTACAGAGGTTAGACATAGTTATTCCTCACTATGAATCTACTCTTTTTTTAACCAAAGGCATTAATTCAGACCCAGGTTATGCCTAGCTGGGCAGTGGCCAGAGGAATGCAGACCACAGAGTACAGAAAGCATAAGGTAGCAATAACTCTATTCACCCAAGATACTTTGTGTGAAAGGACTCTTTCACAGTATTGAGAAGGCCTGAGATGGGACCGAAGGTGGGGCCTGCTACACTGACTGCATCATTTCTCACCTTCTAGAACAGTGTTAAACCAAGGAACTCTTAATAAATTAGGAGAGCTATTGAGAAACAATTTGGAACATCATTTCTACCTATTCCTGCAAACCCTGTTAACTCTTGTTAGCTATTGATTGGATTTAGGATTCTGGCAGCTCCACAAATCTATATTTCTAAACTTTGATTAAATTGATTTCATTATTTTAAATGTTATTAAATTATATTAAAACAATCTGAAAAGCTAATTGGTGATACTTTCTCTACAAATGATGTGACATCCCAGACTTTTTGCCTTCATCATTAAAATATGTAGTCTTTTATCTTAGATTTAAGAGTAGTTCTATATCACAGTGACATTTATGTTGAAGGTATTTTCTAATTGCTTTCCTTATTTTATGTACCTCTATTCATGTTGTTGGAGTCCTGGTGTGGCGCTGTGGGTTAATGTGTCAGACTTCAAAGTCTTTTGTCGGTGTGGTTCAAGCTCACCAGCTGCTCCTTGGAAGCCCTATACAAGTTTGCTATGAATAGGAATGGACTTGATGGCACTTAACAACAACATCATTCATGTTGTTGAAGTCCTGGTGTGGCACTATGGACTAATGTGTTAGACTGCAAAGTCATTTGCACTGCAATGTCAGTATGGTTCAAGCTCACTAGCTGCTCCTTGGAAACCTATACAGGGTCGCTATGGGTTGGAATTGACTTGAAGGCACTTATCAACAACAACATTCATGTTGTTGGAGTCCTGGTGTGGTGCTATAGGTTAATGTTCCAAATTGCAAAGCCCTTTGAACTATAAGGTCGGGGGTTCAAGCTCACCAGTGCTCCTGGGAAACTCTACACAGGGTTGATATGGGTCAGAATCAACTTGACTACACGTAACAAGAACTGCAACAATTCATGTTGTTAAGGAGCCCTGGTAGCTTAGTGGGTTATGAGTTGGGCTGCTAACTACAAGGTCAACAGTTCAATTCTGCTAGTCACTCCTGGTATAAAAATGAAGATTTTTGCTCCCATAAAGATTTATAGCCTAGGGAACCCCACACAGAGTCACTATGAGTTGGAACCAACTGGATGGCACACAATCATTCATATTGTTAAAGTGTCCTTTTATGTTTCTGTAGGGTAAGCCTGGGCTGCTAATTGCAAGGTCAAAGATTCAAATACACCAGCTACTTCTTGGTAATCTTATATAGGGTCACTATGAATCAGAAGGGACTTGATGGCATTTACCAACAAGACCAAAAATTCACGTTATTAAACATTTTCTTCTTTAGGCCCAGTTGGAGTCTCTGATCACCTTCCTTCCAATCTTTAAACTTTCTGAAGTTATCACAATGATCTAACAAGTCATGACACATATTTTGATGATATGGAATGTAGGGTTCTTAAAGATTAGTGACAATATTGGACACATGTACTGAATAAAATTAGTTGACAAGCCTTAAATATATAAACATCTTGAATATTCAACATGGATCATAGCCAAGGATTTCAGTTTTTGCCAGCAATATAAATAACGTATTAATTTATTTAAAAAGATCTCTAATAAATGCTGATTGTATGTTGGCACTTTGTAGGACATTATTCCAGAAGACATTTGAGAGAGATAATTTAGGGAATATTAAGTAACAAAATGGAGCCAATAGGTTGGAATAATTTGAAGGTGGCAAAAAAATGGCAAGAGGACATATTTAAGGTTGTTGTTGTAAGTGCTGTGGAGTCAGTTCTGACCCATAGCGACCCTGTATAGGGTTTCTGAGGAGCAGCTGGTGAGCTTGAACAACCGACCTTGCAGTTCAAATGGCTTTGAAGTCTGGCACATTAACCCACAGGGCCACACCAGGACTCCATATTTAAGGTTACAGTAGATTATTTTGAAGAGGCGTAAGAAAAGAGGAAATTTAGACCACATTTTCAGCTCTCCAGGCTAAGGGCCATGGCCAAGTCCTTTATGAGGCGGTGTGGGCACAGACTTTTGGAGATGTCTTGTAGTTGCTTTCCCTGCTGCTTCTTCCAACCCCTTTCACTTCCTCTCCATTCAGGTTCAGGACAGAATCAACAGGAGCTGACTAAATTATTCACCCCTTACTGTCAACTCCCATAAATTTATTTTTCTTCCACAGTACAGTTGTACTCTCCCTAAAACGAACCCCTTAATCAGTCTAGTGTTGAATTTAAACATTTAAAAGGAAACCTATCGGTTTCAGCTCTTGCAGGTGAGCCTCCCTACAAACTACTGGGTTTTGGTCTTCAGAATCTCTCCAAGCAACCTTCATCCCCTTAAAAAAATTTTTTTTTCAAATAAAAAAAAGATAATAAAAATACTTTTAGGAGTAGGCAGAGCAATGAGTCCGCTGATTCCACGTCTGCTATAAGAAGCAGATTTTTGCACAGGGATAAGATTACCGCTGCCAGCCCAGGACTCCAGCGGTGTGGCCGCTCAGACGCTGGCTCCTCCCTTCCCCCCGCGGACGAACGCGAGGCTACCAGATGGGTTCAAGTAGACAAGTAGCTGTTTTTATTGAATACAGAAGCTCCTTGAACACTCTGTGGGCTCCAGGGCTCTCCTGCAATTCCTTTCATTCCCAATGTGCCGGAGCCAAGCACGCGTCCCCAGTAGCTCCCTCCCATTTCTTTTCGGGGATTTCAGCAGCAGAGGAGGGAGGAGAGGAGTGGGGAGATGTGAGGGGGGTTTCTGGGCTGGGCCAGCCAGGAGTCCTGATTCTTGGGCAGAAAGAGAGGGGGGCGGGCTCGGGGCCGCCCGAGAGGCATGTGATTGGGTCTGACCCTCAGCCAGCTTGTCAGTTTCGCCCGTGTTGGGGGGTGTGGTGGGAGGGGGGTGCAGAGAGGGGAGTGGGCGGGGGAGGGGGCTGCCCGGAGCCTCTTGTCCGGCCCACTGACGGCATGAAACCTTTAGGGGCACGCAGTACTCTCAGCTTTTTGGTTGAAGCCCCTCATCTGCCTTCAGTGTGAAGGCAGGGCCCAGCGGAGGACGGATCGGAAGGTCCCTACGGGTGGGGCCCGTCCGAGAAGAAGAGACGGGCGAGGGGCAAGAAGGAAGCAAACATCAAATTTAAAAGAAAAAGCCCTTTGACTTTTCCCCCTTTCCCTCTCCAATGGCTGTGTAGCATACTTCGCCAGCGATACCGTGGAAGGGACGAAGTTGATCTGCAATTACAATTGGGTCGAGTTCACAGTTGTGAGCACGGGGTTCGGAGATGGAGCGGTGGTCCTCTAGGTGGAAGACGAAGCGATGGTTCTGGGATTTCACCATAACAACCCTCTCATTGACTTTCCTCTTCCAGATTAGAGAGGTCAGAGGAGGTAAGAAAAAAAATGGATTTGGGGAGGTGGGAGATTGCCATCGGTCTTTCTCCTGCGCCCCTCCCCCCTTTTACGCCTCCTCCTTTCTCCTCCCACCCCCCACCCCCAAAATAATTCCTTTAAATAAAATCCAGATTGTAGCAACCACCAGGTTGGAAGTGGAGACTAGACGGAGAGATGGATGTAGGCGAGACAGTAATGGGAGAGGAGGTATGGAAAAAAAAAAACAATCTGTCAGGCTCAGAGCCTGCTGAAATGCCCTTCATCACTTTCAAGCCTCTTTGAAAAGAGGAACAGTACTGCTTTGAATACAAGGGCAGTTGTACAAAGCTTTTGTTTAAAGAGCAAGTCCTTTCAGTGCCCTATGAGCACATCTTCTAGTTTCCTCAGATTCTTACTAATGGACGTATCTTTTTAAAGGTGAGTTAAGGAGAAAATATAGAGTATAAAATGAACCTTGATAAAGTTCTTTGTCTTGAACAAAGTGGGAAAAGAAAAAGGAGGCTATTTTATGCTTTGGGACATAAGAGTAACGCGGGGGGTGGGGGGCGGTGAATCTAGAAGACTGAGAACACTTTTTTTTTTTTCTTTTGGCATTTTGAAGAGATTTTGAGTGGCAAAACTGGCAGACTGCAAATAAGCACATAGAACTAGTTCAACATAGGGGAAAGAACATTTTCCCCTAAATTTCATTCCTCTTCTCCCTCTGTGACTTCAGCCCCCCTTCTTCTTGCAGGTTGGACATGCAGTTCTTTTGGAGAATGGTGCAACTCATCAAGCAATTGGGGTGGGGGTGGAGGAATAGAGGTTGGGAGGGAAGAGGAGGGGGCATGGGATGAGGTGGGAGGAGAGGTAAGGAAAAGTTCCTACGTGGCACTACCAAATATTCAATGACCAGACTTGCTCTGAAGACTGCAGCCCTGTCAGTACCCAGGAGGGAAATCGAATTTACTCCTCCCCTAGGCCCCCTCCCTCTCCACCCTTCCACCCCCACACTCCGCCCTTTCCCACAAAAGCATCTAACAGGAGCGGACGGTCCGTTAGGTGCTGTAGACGCGGCTGGCGGGCAAACTCCTTTGGAGTTCAGGAAACTGGTGCAGTTTAGAGGAGAAAGAACTTTTGTTAGAGGAAGTGCAAAGAGGAGATGGGGATTAGGAAGGAAGATGATGAGGATAAACTAGTGGGGAAAAATACACTCAACCCCTACTGGTGCAGGTTTTAGCAGAAGCCAGATAGTCTGGTCTCAGGTCTACAGGCCAACATCTGAGCACTCTCTAACGTGAATCTCTGCCCTGAGTCCAAACTCTGCAAAAGCAGTGTGTATTCTTCCCTCATGGTTCACTTTCTTGAGCAGCAGAAAGTGTTGGATCACACCTATGTAACAGGGTACCCTGGTGAATACAGTCAGAGCTCCTTAGGGCTTTATTTGATTTTGAAATGAGTTATATTAATAATGAAGAGTGGATACATCCTTTTCAAAGATAAATAGAGCCTTCAAAAGTTTGCATTTTTACCTTTGGTACCTGGACACCAGCTGAATTTGTCAGTTCTGTCAGCAGTTCTGCCCTCTGCTGGTTTCATTTATTATTTAGATTTCAGGCATCTGAAAATGTTGAAACTATGACATTAATCGGTATATGTAGGTGGCTCAAGAGACACCACTGAATAAATTCAGGAATTATATCACTGAAGGTATTTCTGTTGCTTTTCCACATTTGGCCTTTTTGTAAAGCACTAAGGAGAGCAGAAACGATCAATTTTCTACATTTCGGATACAGATTTTTCTTTTTTCAATCTAGTTGCACTCCTGAAACACTTTTGAACAAGTTTTTCAATATAACATGAAATAGTGTACCATCCCTATTTTAATAAAGTCAAGTATGAGAGAAATCGCCAAATATGACAACCAGATGTTGGGTTTCTGTCTGTCATTTCTGAGGCTATGTCTAGAAAGTAATATGTTGTGGTGAAGTGCCGTCAAGTAGGTTCCGACTCATAGTGACCCTGTATAGGGCTTCCGAGGAGCAGCTGGTGAGCTTGAATCGCCGACCTTGCAGTTCAAATGGCTTTGCAGTCTGAAGCATTAACCCACAGCGCCACACCAGGACTCCAGAAAGTAATATAGGAGTTTATATATTTTTACTGAACAGTTTTGGTTTTTCCTATTTTCCTTTCTTTTGTCAAGTTGCTTGGTGCTTATTGCTCAGTGGGAGGTCACGTCTTTACTTAAATCTACTTCATAGGCATTCCTGTCATTTACTAACATAAAAGTGAAATAATAGTGTAAGAAACACTGGCTTCAGGCCTGAACTATCGTACAAGGGAAAAACAAACCCAGTTTCTAGTTTTAATGGTAGACATCAGATTTGTAGTTGAAGCAACAATCAATAGAATTTTATGTAAATTTTAAAAGGTGTTATACAGTATCATTCATTGATTTCATTGAGGTGTAGTGGTGTGGTTTGGGCCCTAAATCCAAACATAATTAAAAATAGAGCCTATTTTCACATAAAATTATTATTTTCTTAGATGAAAAATTTTAAAGTCTTAAGAAGTTTTGTGTTCATAATAAAGTTTGACTCTAAAAAATAAATAGTTTAGAATTCTCTAGTCTCTCACCTTATAGAAAAAGTTTCTTAGAAGTGAAGTACATTAAAAGAAAATTTATGATCTAATGCATATATCATTGTACTTAAAAAATTTCTATGAGTTGGAAATCTTTACCATACATATTCAAATTTTAAAATTTTTCCTATGATTTAGTGTAATAAAACTAGGTTTATTTAAAAAAATAGGCATTTAGATTAACTTCAAAGTTATAGTTCATTTATTTACCTATGGTTAATATAGATCAGTTGTCTCAAGAATTTATGATTATTTCGTCAATTAGTTAAGCAGACCATTACTTATAGGACCTGGGGTTTACAGTAGTTACATGATTATGTTAAGAGAGATGGTTTCATGTAAGATTTTAAAATAAGACAAAATTGAATACTAAGGAAAAATAATATCTAACTGAATCCATTTTTACTAATTAAAATGTTACCTAACCTTAGGTACTTAAACCTATAGTATGTCTTGCAAAACGTTTATCAGTTTTATGAGGAACTTTCAAAAAACTTGCTATTAATTGGAAATGAACCCTAATGAAGAGTTGTTTTGAGTGCCCAGGATCAGCAGGTGAAATGGTACTGGCTTCTAGAGTATGTACTAATGCAACCTTGCAAAGAGATTAAGTTTGCCCCTTTTATTGCTTAATCAGAAATCAGTTAAAAGATTAAGATTGTTTCTGATAACAAATTGAGGGTTTTCTAGAATTTTTAATATTGTCACTTTCCATTTTTTAGTTTCAGTAATACAGATTATTACTCAAAGGTAATTTATGAGAAGCAACTTCATGCAAGCTTTATACATATAATCTCAGTTTAGGTGGCACATATATAGCCAGTAAATTATAGACTTTTTAATCTAAATGCCTATTAATCTTCAAATTAAGTTTATTAATATATGAAAGTGATAATCTGTTTTATAATTGGCACTTAACAGAGGGACAACTTTATATTAGTTACTCTCTGTTTTAGAGAAAATAATAAAATTGCAAAATGAGACATAATGCCTGGTTGCTTGCACTTTAGTGATAAAATTTGTCTAGGTTCCATGTTTAATTAAATTTTTGACTAAAATGGAATAACCACAAGGTTGCTCAAGTTGTTTACCCTAAAATACAACAAGGCAAACATGACTCCTTTTCAGAGTTGTGGGCAGAATTTCTATCTTACAAAAAGTCTAAATAGTCAGCTTTCATTTTCTAAAGATCTTTGCTTCTTCTCAGAGAAAAGTCCTCTCCACACAGGTTAATTTATTGACGTACTGATTAGTTAGTGAAAATGATTAGACTTAAATTAAATCAAGCTTTGTTGACAGTGTCCCTGTAAAAAACAGTTAAAATTTGTAAGAAAAGCAGTGTTTTCAGCTGAGATTTATTTAAAGAATGTTTGAATTAGGAGGATGCCTGGTGTGGCACTGTGGGATCAGCACTGGTTTACAAACCTCCAGGATGGCAGTTCAAACCCATCAGCAGCTCCTCAGAAACCCTATAAAGGGTAGCTATGAGTCAGAACTGACTCGACGGCACTTAACAACAACAAGAATAACTGAGACATATTATAGAAATTAGTGCTCCTACCTTATTGCTTTATTAATGAAGAGAAAGCTAAGGCACAGAAAATCATTACCTGAATACTGTTTCCTACAGAAATATAAAAAAAAATCCTTATAATATTCAAAATTTGTTTTCCTTTGAGGGATAGTGTAGATGTGTTATAGTGATGAAACATATGTTAAAAGAATGTTGTTGCTGTTAAGTGCCTTCGAGTCGATTACAAACCATAGCAACTCTGTACAGCATTTCCAAGAAGCAGTTGGTGAGCTTGAACTGCCAATCTTGCAGTTCAGACAACTTTGCCGTCTGATGCAGTAGCCCACAGAGCCACACCAGGACTCCCTTAAAATAATAAACATTTGAAATTTACTGAATGACTAAATACTACCTACATTTGCATATGCTATATTTTAGGAATCCTGGTGTGGCACTGTGGGTTAATGTGCTTGACTGCAAAGTCGGTTTGAGCAGCAAGTTTAGCAGTTCAAGCTCACCAGCCCCTCCTAGGAAACCTTATACGGGTCGCTGTGGGTCGGAATTGACTTAATGGCACTTAACATCAACAACATATTTTAGAATAAGAATTTATTGAGAAAGTAGATTAGTGAAAATACCTGATTTAGAGATCCATGAGGAGATATAGAATATGTTTTAATATTTCTCAATTGTTTAAATATAAAGAAAGTATCATATTATTATTTGTGTCCTTAATACATTTACTTAAAACTATCTCTTTCAGGGTAGAAGCATAATAGTTTTAAATAACATTTTGTATGTATTTATTGCTGGATCGAGAATATAGTATTCCAACCTCTTTAAATTTGTTAATGAAGGACTA